CTGCACGCAAAAAAAAAAAAAAAAAAAAAAAAAAAAAAAAAAGCCTCTATGCAATAAATTCAATAAGGCTCTAAAAGACTCTTGTATAAATAGTGGGGTAAATCCTCTTCCCAAACCAATGTGGCACAAAAGCTCACTTTTTCCCTTCATTTTTCCAACTCAATGGGTCTACTTTGAGAATAAATATCTTATTCACCCATTATCCGTTTTGAGCGTACAATATATCAATTTTTTCGTCTCACTACGAAGAACCCGAATCCACTTTGACCCGACCCATTTTAGAAGTGGACCCCACTGATAATTGTACCACAAAATAGCCACTTAAAATGCCATTTTAATGCTATTTTTCCAACATATATTTTGCAAAGTTTTCTTACAAAATTTTGTAGAAAAGAAAAAAGATGTTTGCAAAACATTGATGTAGAAGTGGCTTAAACGAAATGTATATAATTTGAGAAATTATTTTAAAAGAGGAGTACTGACTCATAAAGAAAAATTAATTATGGAGGGTCATGACACTTATGAAGGAGAGCCTCTGTGACGGCAGAAATAAACAGCGTCGTTTATTTTTTCAAAAAAAAAAAAAGTAAATATAACATACGACGTCACTATAACACCCCGTGTTACGGCCTTCAATCCCGGATTAATTATTTAATTAATTCCATTAATAATAATTAAAAAGGAATTTAATTTGGCTAGAATTCTCTTTAATTAATTAATGTGGTCCATCATGGATCGTGGACCCTTGCCTAGACTAGAGTATTAAGCAGTTAAACCTATTAGGAATAAAGAGAGTAAACCTTTTTACTAATCAGATTCTAATTAGGAGTCTTAGACCTAATTATCTATTAGAAATAAAGAAAGTAGGTCTTTACTATTCAGATCATGATTAGGATTCCCTTTAATTAATTAACATGGTCCACCATGGACCATGGACCCTTATCCCTAAACCAAGCCCTTAGTCCTATAAGGAATAGAATTAGTAAAGTCATACCATTCAGACCCTAATTAGGACTCCTAGATATATATATATATATATATATATATATATATATATATATATATATATATATATATATATATATATATATATATAAGGACATAGGAGGCACCTAGAAGTCAGACCACAATAGATATCACCACACAAGAATTCCCAAGGGACTCCCCACCACCAAGCCTAGGGAGATCAAACGGATGAAAATCTTAGGGAAGAACCTTAATACCAAGGGAGGATTAATTAAGGCTAAGAGGTAACCCATGTCTCAACAAAACCTATTTTCTTCGCTATAAACTCCCTCCTTGGCCTCCCTCTATATTCTTGTGTCTTGATAAATTCTTCTATGTTAATTGTGATATGTTCTTGACAAGATGATTTATGTCCATTCTTGATAATCTTGATGATCTTGATGTTGAAAAAGAGTTCTTGATATTGATGTGATAATTCTTGACGAATCTTGGTATTTCTTGATGTTAAAGATAAAATATGATCTTAATGATTTGGGTGGGATTAGAGACCTAGGTTGGATTGGGAATTTGTGTTGGGATGTTCTTGATATATATTTGGGTGGGGATTCGCATGTTCGGGTGTTGTTTATATTTAGAAGTCGTAATAGGATGAGTCCTACGTGATTCTTGCTTTTAATCCGTTAAGTGCCTACATAGTGTCGTTATTCGCGTTTAAAAGTGTCTAAGCATGGTTTCTGGTTCCACAAGGTTCCCGGGACGAATATATGAAAAAAGAGTCAGTGGGGGATAGGTGGGGGTAGGGGAACCCGCCACCTACCCATTGCCCGAAGGACCGCCCGGCAGCAAGCAGCCGCCTGCCCGCCGGCAACCCGTTGCCCGGAACAGTGCCCTCCGGCGGGTAGCCGGTGGGTGACCCCCACCCAGCGGCTACCCGCTGGACTATACCCCACCTCGGGTCTTCGGCTTCCCCGTTTGATGTTCCCCGCTCCCCATGGTGTCCCAACGGACCCCGTTTGTCGTGCTTGAGTCTAGTTTGATATTCCGGGTATCATTCGTAGGTTAAATGAGTCTTAGGAATTGCATGCTAGTGGAATTGGTAACCCGTTGACCTAGGTGGAAGTTGTATGAACCCTTAGGACTATTCTTAGTATGTCAATGACCACACGTAAGTTTATTTATTATGTCTTTCCCCTCCCAATATGCTATTATGTGTTCCTATGTGTTATGTGTTGCATGATCCCCCATTTTGGTTACAGACCAATTGGGTGATTCCCGGACTAAGATTCGGAAGTCGACTGAAGGCCGAATGGATTGTTCCCGGACTAAAGGTTCGGAAGTGGCTGAAGGCCAAATGGATTGTTCTTGAGCTAAGGCTCAGAAGTTGGCTAAAGGCCGAATTGATTCACTTCTTGGGCTGCGGTCCACATGGCCCTCGGTGCTTTGACCCACCGACCTGGACGCGTCAGGCGGTGTGTAGGGCCAATAAGCCGAGGAAGGCTATAGTCCACCGACCTGAGTAATTAGGCGGTGTGTAGGGCTACGGCTGACTGCGATCCACCGAGTGATGGGACAGCGGTGTGTAGGGCCGTAGTCTTAGAGGATCTTCGCCCACCGACTGAGTCTAGCTTAGCGGTGTGTCGGGATTGATCCGCTATGGTCCACCGACTGTACGCATCAACGGTGTGTAGGGTCGTAAGTCCCCCCTTGTAAAGGGGATTGCGGTCCACCGACTGTGCGCGTCAGCGGTGTGTCGGATCATGGTCCGACGTTGAGTTCATCAGCGGTTCTCAAAGGGTTGGTTGCGATCAACTCCCCTCATACCACGGTACTGAGGTAGGGTGCTGCGGGGCCGTGTTAATGCTATAAGCATTAACCCTCATGTGATATGAATGATGTTTGGATAATGATGTGTTTGAATTGGAAAAGTGATTTGTGACCTTAGATACGTATTCCTTATGATGTTTACTCTACTTAACTGTTTATCATTGATTAATGTGCTTGTCCCTATTTGCTGAGTCTATTCCTGGTTTTAAAACTAGAGTCTCTTAAGTATATATCTTCCTGCTTCAAAATGATTTTCATATATCTATATATATCTATCTATAATGTATTTCAACGCGTTGGAGTGAGTTACCGGCATCATTCGCTGAACAGATATATTTGGCTTTCAGGCACAGATGATTAGCTCCCAGAGCGCGCTAGAAGAACTTGGAGTAGATAGATAGTTTTCCTTTCGGCCTGCTGCCATGATGATGTATTGAGGATATTTAGTTAGTTTAGCCTGTGCATCTGAGTTCTCCAGCTCAGATGTGGCATAGCACCCCGCACTCGTATGTTTAGTACTACTCTGTTTTGGGATTTAATGAGAATTGACCTTTGTTATATAAGTTTTAAAAGTTTCAAATTTTCGGGGTGTTACAGTCACCGTCGTATATTTTAAAATTTTTTAAAATATAACATATGACGTCGATTTTTACTAAAAATCGACGTCATATGTTATATTTAAATTTTTTAAAAAATAAACGATGTTGGTTTTTCTTAAAAATTGACGTCGGTTTTTTATTAAAAACCGACATCGTATGTTGTATTTTAAAAATTTTAAAAAAAATATACGACGTCGGTTAGTATCATTTATTTATTACGTCTGCTAGAATGACGTCGAAAAAAATCGACGTTAAAAGTGTCAAAAATTGACATTAAAAGTGTTATTTGTAGTAGTGAGGGCACGCTCTGAACTTTGTACTCAGATTTTTAGCAATGCAAACTTGATTACTTGTTTCTAAATATACTTTAGTGTCATTTATACCGTCAATTAGACCAAATGAGATTATAGATAATGTAATAAGAAAAAATAAACCTTATACACCTCAAATTTGTGTAAGTAGATGAATGTTCCATGTTAAGCAAATCAAGAGTAAATGACTACCATAGTTTAGTTGGTTAAGCAATTGATTTGGTAACTATAGGTTCTAAGTTTGACTCTGTCTAGGAGTTGGGAAACACCCTAACACCTCTTTCTCCTTCCATATAATTTTTTTCCTCTCTCTCCATGTACATGAGCATTCTCCTATCAAAATCCATATCGAAGATATCTTTAATGACAAACTCACTATAAATCGAAGAGGTTGAGAGGAAGGTGACCATGGTTGCCTTTGTCTCATATTAGAATTATTACTTATGGAGGCCGCCTTCATCAACCTTTGAGACGAAAGTCTAGATCTATACCTCAATAACCATGGTTGTTTTAGTTGTGTTTGTGGGCAAGTGTAACTGTTGATTGGATGACCACAATTGTTTTCTAAAAAAAGTGCACGTACACTTCAAATCCACTTAGAAAGTTAATGTTAGCGACATCAATAATAACATATTGAATAGGTAGTATTTGAATCTAAATATACTATTTTTTATTGATTCATGGAGATTTTATAGAGTTTTGTTTTTTATTTTTAATTTTTAAATACAATGGAAAAAAATAGAAACTATATGAACCAAGAAACTGCCACTCCATAAATATCTTCAACAAGCAAGGTATCTAATATCCTCAAAAGAGCTTCAAAGCCCTGAAATCCCAAATCCTCATGGACTTCAAGATGACATACCATCTAAATATGCTCATATGTTAGCTTCACGATGAATATGCATCAAAGAACATTTTCAATTCCAACTCAAAAGGTTTCATATCACATACACTAAACTATTACGCCACTTACAACACTCTTTTATAATTTTTTTTTTATTATTCTAAAAAACGAACCGATCTCAACCTCAACACTCCTCCCCATCTCCCAACTTATCATTAACCCATAAAATGCCTAAAGCTCTTTTCACTTAGACACTCAAATGCCCTATTCAACATACTTGAAGATTTATTTCACCCTCTTTCCTTTAAAAAAATGATAATTTGAATCCAACTCATCTAAATGTTTTGCCACATCATTTCCCAAGGCGGAAGCCTCCCAGCCTTTCCTAGCAAAAGTATAACGCCAAAACCACGTGACCCTTTTCCCTATATATAACCGCCCTCTTCCACCGCCTTGGCGTCCGTTTCGACTACAATTCATGACTCATCCCTCAAACCCACAAACCCTTCTCTCTCCCTCTCTCCCTCTCTCCCTCTCTCTGTGTATATCCGTGCTGAGCTCGCCGCTTGAAACCTGAGTCAACTCGGTGAATCCATGTCAATTCGATTCAAATTCCGGAGCTCGGCGAGCTTCGACTCCGTGGACCTCCAAGGACGCTCCTCAATCTCCGTACGGGAGCTGAGGTTGAAGATCATACGCGATAAGAATCTTAATATTTGTCAGGACTTCGATCTTGTGTTTTCTGATGCCGTATCTGGCGAAGGTGATCCAATTCTCCCTTCTTTCATCTTCTTCGTGCTCCCATATTCATCTCATTCTCCCCGCATATTTATTTTATTCCCTTCTTTAATATTGATTTTCATTGTTATTATACAAACGGGAACGAGTTTGTAATCTTCTTTAATAGGAAGCTAGAAATTCACATATCAATTTTTTTTTTTTTTGGGAATGTTTATGCAGAGTACAATGACGAAAAGTTTCAAATTCCGAGTGGTTCGAGTATAATTGTTAGGAGAGTTCCGGCTGGTACGCTGCCTTCTGCCAATGCGTAAGTTTGCTTACTCTACTCTTTTATAAATTATCAGTTTGATTCAGCATTCATGTTTGTGTGATTTTTTTTTTTTTTTCTGAGGTTACTGATTGAGTTTTGCAAATGAGAAATTCAGTTTAGGAGCTTATTTGTGTGTGTATACTGCTGGCACTGGTTCTGTGAGATTTGTTGATGAAAAGTCAAGAGATGAAAATCTTCCACATAGTTTTCTTAATGTTGCTTGCCAATGTGGTGTTTTTTTTTGGCTGAAGCTTAGTGCTGTTATTTGTTGCATGAGTGTACCCTAAAGTTGAACTAGGCAGCACGGAATCAGGGAGTCGGGACATGGGGTAACATTAATTTTTAAAAATGTAAGATATAGCATGGAAGGAAAGCCGATTGCCAAATGTGCAAATATAAAAATATAGTGTTATGTTTGCAAATATTTTTTCCTTAAATATATATAAATATTACAGTAATTCTTTACTAGTTTTATAATTAAATGTAATACACTAATAAATACTAGAAAGTCCATTTAAAATAAAAACTACATGTCCAAAATATTCTTAGCATCTTCGTTAAAGAATATACACTTAGGTTGGCAAACTAAGGAATGCTAATGCGTCTGGTATAACTTAGGTCAAAGTGAGGAATAAGCATCTATGTTACTTTTTAGCCCAAATTTTTTTTTTACAATTGGACCCTTAACGCATTTATGAATTTTATTAGTTACAGAAATGGTCCCGAAACATTTTGGGGCTGTTTCCATTTTGTTTTTGGGAGGAAAATATGTTTGAAATGTGAAAATGACATAAATTTGCGTGCTCAACAAACTAAAATAACCCTGGATGGTAGCCTTTTCTAATAGATTTTTGTGCGGTTCTTGAAAGTTAGGAATTAATTACCATGGTTGCAGTAGGCGCTAGTCTGGCGCCCGGACAGCGCCTAGGCGGCGCTTAGGCGGAATCTAGGCGCCGCTAGGCGGGCACCAAAAAAACAGTGGTAGATTTGCAGTTTGACAATTTTAATGAGGTTGTTTTCAACATTTAATAAAATAACACATCCAAGTAAATGAATTAATGATAATTCATAAGTCATAACATCAAAACAATGGTTTTCAAAAAAAAAAAAAAACATTAAAACAATATTAAAAATTAAAAATACTCAAATACTTCAATCATCCAAAGATTCAAAGTATCAAACTAGTCTACGAGTGTATATATGTTATATTATATATATGTATGCGCGTGCGCGCACACACACATATATATAAAATAAAAAAATAGGCCGAGCTGATCGGGTTAACTCGACCGAAATGGACGAGTTAACTCGACTAACTTAGATGCTAGGCGGCCAAATCGGCCGAGTTAGGCGCTAGGCGGACGCCTAGGCGGCCGGTAACCTAGGCGGGCGCCTAGGGGGAAATTGTCACGGTCTAGAGGCGCCTAGCGCCTAGGTGGGGCCTAGGCGGGCGCCTAGACCGATTTTTACAACCCTGTTAATTACTCGTATTCTCTGATTCTCTCTCAACTCTCAAGTAAGCGTTGTGCTTTCTAATTCATTGATTAATGGCTCTGATATAGGTTTGTACATTCTACTTTTGTAATAATTATAGGGTGTAACCGTCTAACTATTAGGCTCTATTTGTCTCAATTTCATGATGCCAACAGCTGAGAATTTTTTATGGATTAGCTTTCGGTTATAAACGTGTCTATAAATGCCAAAATCTTATCCGGCAAATCGCAGCTGGTTCAGAGAATATCTTACAAATATGGGCCGTTAATTGAGCTCAACTTGGCCATTGTATAATTTGTTTACTTTAAAATAATTTTATATCCACTATGATCTGTTAGATATAATTGCTTTTTTGGATAAATAAATATTGTAATATGCACCAGATGGGTGTCATTAAATACATCACTAGTTATTTACCAAATAATCAGAAAACATTACAAAAGCAGTTTAACTAAAATTATCTTAACCTGGTCTGTATGCCAAATTGCCAATATATATCCAACTTTTCCTCAATGCTCATTCGAATATCATGATTCCAGACTACCATATATGTTCTGTTTGGATTCCATAGAATTCTAATCTTAATTGTTGATTAGATTAAATTATTTCCTATTTACATAGAGCACTCAACTTTCACATGATTGTATGTGTGTTTCGTTGTGAATATATTTAAATTGGTCCCTTAATTCTTAGATAGATGTACATGTTATCCTCGAGTTGCACCTGTAGGTAACTATTCACTGTTAGAAATCCTAATTATCTGGGGGGTTTGGGTAAAAACACTCATTTAAAGCAAAATTAACTACTCATTAGTCAAGAAATATGGCCATTCTAAGACTCATTCTCATTCCTTAAGTTTTGATTCTGATTCTAATACCCTTGTCCAAACCAAACTCACCCTTAATCCATCCTATTGGGGTCATTCATTTCAGTGAATTGTATTATCAATAGTGTATTTAGACTTATCAGGAACCCTTGATAAGAAAGATTCTCACAGTCATAATTTAAAGAAATAATAGAGGCTGCTTTGAATGAGGGTGCCATCCCTATAGTATGGTCTGTATGGAAAGAAACGTATCAAGTAATGGAGAATTTTAGTCATGAATATCTCTAGAGTTTGAAATAACTTCTTGCTTCTTATGTATAACTGATTCTTGTGCCAGGATGCATGTTGTCATGACAAATGACTGTGGGAAGCAAGGTTCTGATCATTTCAATCAAGCTGTAAGTTTGTTTAAACTTCATTTGGCATCTGCCATGTTTTCATTATCTTTAATATTTTACAGATTCTTGATATGATTGTAAGATCAACTTATATATTTCAAAGGCATATACTTTGTAAATCATTGATTGAATTTGTATTCTAGTGTGTAAAAGTTGATGATTTTGATGACTTTGGCACTGATATGTGCCCTCCTCTTGGGGAGCCGTTTCACGAGTCAAATCCTGAATGTGATGAGAAAAACTGCTGTGGCTTCGAAGAGGCAGATGTTCCTGGTTCAAGGTATCCTACTAGCAATTCATTTTGTCTTTATTGACAGGGCATGAAGCTCATTCTTTAAATGTTTCGAAACACACTAATAAGAATAAGTTTATGTTTCGTCATGCTTTTAAAAATGTAAAATTAGAAACAAACAGTCACTAATTTCTATTTTGTGCTTTTGTCTACCCAAAATAAATACAGATGAATTTCTTATATATATACCGTTTAGGTCTTGTTTCATTTGTTACTGAAACAAAGCCTATTTGCTTTGAAGCTGAAGTGAATTTTTTAGGGTTACAGTGTGTTGGTGTTTTTTTTCGTATGGGGCATAATAGAATTGCTCATTTTGTTGTATAAAATATGCATAAATGAATTGATGTTGGTTAACTAAGGACTAATTTAGGTATTTTGTGTCTTCAGGTTTCAATGCCATAAGCTCGAGTCAAGTGATTTGAGTCAAGCTATTCATAAAGGTTCAAGTTATTGCTGTCTGCTCTTTTGATAACTGTTCTTGAATATTCCTTTGTGACAGTATCAGTTTCAGGTTCTAATCATAGCATGGATGAAAGGAACATGGTGGTACAAGAAGCAAGAGCTGAAGATCAGAAGTGGGAAAAGTATTAACTATTTTGTTCTGTCAGAACTTGCTTTTTTTTTTTTTTTTTATTATATTTGTGCATACCTGACCCTTGTTTTCTTATGGAAATGATAAGGGTTGTGACTCCAACTTTTTTGCCAGGGAATACACTAATTTGCCATTAGAACTCAAATGCCCTCTCTGCAACACATTTTTCAAGGAGGCTGTGCTTATACCTTGCTGCCAGCATAGTTTTTGTAAAAAATGTGAGTAGTTTATGTGGAAATAAGCTGCCTTCATATTGTACAAGTTACACAGTCATCATGCCTTTGATGTTTGGGAAGCATCTTGTGATTTACAATTTGCATTGAGATGCTTTGTGTCTCTTGGTTACTCATCAAGCAATATATTCTTTAAAAGTCTAGGTGTTCCTCTGCATTCAAAATGTCGGTGTCATAATGTTTCCTGATTTACAGCTTCATTTTTTATTTTTTTTTGTTTGGTGACTGGTTTCAGGCATTAGCTTTGATCTTCTTGAGAAGAAAAGGTGCCCAATTTGTTCATCCAGCAAATTCAGAGTGGACGACTTGCTCCCAAACTTATCTCTAAGACAAGCAATTGAGCATTTTCTTGGATCTCAAATGATTGGTACTGGCTCACAGAATGATCTGTGTAAACTTGTACCGGGTGAGAAATCTTTCTAACACTCCATGTGTTCTAATGAAAGGATAGACACTTTATTACATTGACATGGTAATGGTTCATTGATAAATACAGATGGAGAATCTGGAATTCATGCTATGGACATTTCTTGTGCTGTAACTGTTATTCAAAGGGAACCTGAAATGCCTCATTCCCCCTCTGCTACTGGACATGGATCAAATCAAGTTTTAGCGGATTCATTTTTTGAGTCGCTTAGGAGAAATACATCACGGAAGATGCACCGATTTGGTGGACAAAGAGCTCAATTTGCTCACTTGAATCTTCATGGTGAAGCTGATAATGTGCCAATTACTGACTTTCAGGGGAAAAACCAGCCTCTAAATTTACGTCACATCCATGTTCAGGATGAAGGTAATAATTTTATAAACACTGACAACTCTAATGTACTATAATTAGTGGTTGTTACTTGTTCAGAAGGCACTTAGGGGTGTTTCAAGGGATTAGTGCTTAGTCTATTCATCAACTGAAAATAATTCCCCCATATTTTTATTATTGCCATTAAAATTTAAAATAAGTGGTGATGTTAAGATTGGCCCTTAATTGCACCCAAAAAAAATTGTTGGTTCGTTCTTTTTTTCAATTTCTTGTATGGTTAAAAAAAAAAAAATTGTATGGTGAAATTTACCTTGAAACGAAGGTCCTTATCTGTAAAAACATAGAAGTTGAGGTTGAGGAGGAAGCGGAATAGGTATGGTTCCATACTTTCATTTTGTATGGGAAGAAAGGATCATTTCTTTGTTACCTATATTTCAATCTCCCAGTGATACTGTCGTTGTCCTCTGCTCTTTTTCTTGATGATGATTTCTCAAGTCAGGTTAATAATATCAGACTTTCTTTTTTCCAAGTTGAGTAGTTGATTCTACCAAGTGATTACATTCCCCTAAAATTGCATCCTGTTACTTCTCCATTTTCCTACAGTGTTTAAAATGTCCGCTTGCTGAAGATTTTAAAGTATCACTTAGTTTACTCCATGAATTCTAACATGTTTATTTTGCTCCAGTGGAATCTACCATGAAGAGGAAAGGAGGACAACTAGTCAATACAGAAGGTAAAATCAATTATTTTCTAGTGCAATCAATTTCTGTTCAATTATTTACTATATTGTTTATGTTTCAGGGGAGGAGACAAATTTTTGGGCTACTGGTAGGCCTAAAAAGGTAATTTTGATATACATGAATATTTACTATTTTTTAATATGTTCCTCTACTTATTATCAATGTATATCTTAGCTGCTATACTTTCTATCATGTTGCATCTTTCATACCATTCTTAATAGCAATGCTTTGCCAATTAAGTATTCATTGAAAAGTTCTTGATATTTAATTGGATAAAGTTCTCTTTTGCTAGTTTAATACATTGCTAGGATTTATATTCCGGATTACTGTTTCTATGAATTTCAACAAGTCTACATACCATTATATATTTAGAAATGGAAGATGAAATATGATTGCTATTTTCATGTTTCCTGTTTAAATCTACTTATCTGCAATATTGGAACACAGGGAGGGCGTAACTGTTACATATGTGGTTCTCTGGAGCATCTTATGAGAGACTGTCCTTTTGCTTCTAGTCCACATCCCATGGTTCACACAGGTTCGTATAAAAATTTGCTTGCAGATATATATGGAATCCAAAATTCTAAATATTTACTTGGTTATCCTTGCATTTAGGAAATTATATGCTTATGGGAGGGATGCCAGGCTATCCACCACCATATTGGAATAGCAGTCTGTATTCTCCCATGCGGCCATTTACAAATATGTATGGTAATCCTGGAATGATGCCATTTGGTGCATCCATGGTCCCTACAGCTACTTTTTGTGCTTCTCCATATATGCCCACTATGCACAGTGGAATACCCCTCAATGGGTAGGTTCTTTGTATGAATACTTCTGTTTTGTTTTGTTTTTTTCATTTTTTGTTTTGTTGTGTTTGTTTTTGTTTTTGGCATTTCTTGCATACATTGTATGGTTTCTTTTAAGATATTGTGTCAGATAACCATAGTTTCTACCTTCTTGCAGAGGAGTCATGAGAAAGGACTGTATGGCACCTCCAATGGGAATCAAAGCTGAGTGCATATTAAACCAAAATGAATTTATGGAGCCCCAACACCATAGCGGCAAAAGGAATGTTTCAGATGAAAATTTGGGGAGGTAATTAGATAAAACACTAGTGCAGGAAGGAGGAGGCAATCTCTCCGTACCCCTTCTACAGCAGTATACTTGTGCTTGCTACAAAATGCATTAGCCATAAGCTAATGTTTTTAAATTTTAATACTATGCAGATCTAGAGGGAAGCAATGCAGTGATAAATATGATGGCAATGTGCCCTATGGTAAGAAGGAAAAAGAAAGGCTTGACTACAAACATTGTAAAGATAGGGAAGCAAGTACAAGTTGCTCTGAGGACAACATGGGTCAAAGGCCAAAGAGGAAATATCAGCATGTTGTCACTAGACGCGATAGAAGTCCTCCGTCCTTTAGGGAGAAGCATATGGAGAGGTCAAATTCTGGCTTGGAGGATTTGGGTCACAGTAGAGAGAAGCATGACCACCACCATAGAGATGCTAGAAAGCACCATGAAAAAAGGGTACAAGGTGGCAGTGATTCTAGTAGGGGTCACCATCATCTCTCTAGAGAGGAACGCAGAAGATCGGAGCACGATGTGAGAGGTTTCCATCAGAAGCGTCCCAATTTTTGTGATTCAGGTTCTCCTCGGAATCATAGAGGAGGTGGCAAAGAAAGGGAATCTGGCCTTGAGTACAGACATCCTAGGAACAATAGCAAACACCCTGGCAATGAGTTGCGTGATGAAAGGAGGCAAATGGTTGATGGCTCATATGAAGATTGTAGAGCTGATTACCATCTCCACAAAAGAAAGAGAGTCCATTAGATTCTCAAGCATGACTCTGAGGTACCATGTAAATGAGGATGCACACACATCATTATAGGTGACGGATCTTGTTTACTTTCATTTCACAAAGGTACTTTGTATAAGCTTGTTTTAGGAGTGGTAGTTCAAAGTTTATAGTCATCAATGAGTTACATATACCCCATAGGTGATGGATTTATTTAGGTACATATAAAAGCATAAAGCTTATATTTAAATACATAGGTATTCTAGATTTCTAGGATCTAATTTCAATCTCTGTTTGGCTTTGTTGGTACAGATTCGTTAAAAGTGGTCGGCTTTTGGACAGTAACATTTTGACTAACCTTTACTAACATTTGCTAACTAATCCTATTCACTTCTTAGTGTGGGATCTGGATGCTAGCAAAGGTTTTAACCAGAACCTGTTCTGGTTAATCATTTAGTTTGGACCATTTTATATGCTGCCCAACTATCTCCTGCAAAAAGGTAATGTAGCTGATTGAGGTAAGTTCTCTTTTCAAATTCTGGTAATTTCACCATCCTTCTAATACTTCCCAAATGAGACCTTCTCCACACTCGGAGGACTTTGTCTATTGCAAAACTTATATGACTACTACCTGAAATTTGCTATACCACCTTGCTGTTTCTTGTTTCCCTCCCCTTCAGTTTTGTTAATTTAAATCCCTTCAAAATCTTTTACTACTTAAATCATTTCCTTGTTTAAAAAAAATGTTCGAAGGAATGTTGAAAATTTAAATGAAAAATGTCAAAACACACACTCCGTTGCTTTTTTTTTTTTTTTTTTTTTTTTTTTTTTTTTTTTTTTTTTTCTTTTAATTGAAAATGTTTCATTACTTTAGTCTGTATGTCTAGCTTCATTTTCTCATATCTGGCGACTAGTTTAGTTCCATTAAAAATATTTTCAAACATGCATGTAGTAGTTCTATCACCATTAAGTAGGGATGGTAACGGGGCGGGTGGGGAGTATACTTCTCGTCCCACGCCCCGTTCCCGGTCCCACCGGGGAATAGAAACTTCTCCCCATTCCCCATTCTCGAGGAGAATTTTTGGAGATGTGAAATTCTCGTCCTCTAGTCAACCCTAAATTCTCGTCCCCACCCACCCACACACACACACACACACACACACACACACACAGGATCGCGTTCAGGTGCGTATTGTCTGTCAGGAAAGGAACTTAGAACGCATGACATTCGTCCACGTGTCCAGATCTAATGGATGAGAAATACTGATTTTTTTTTTTAAAAATGCGGTGACATTTTTGTAAATAATTGAACATTGAAGCGCAAGTAAAATGTATTACAAGTGCAAGTAGCAGTTTCATATAGTGTACCTCAATGCATGTAAAATGTATTACATGTGCAAGTAAAATTTACACTGAGTATCAATACTAGGTGCACCTAACGCTATAATTAGTTGCACTTAAGGTGCACGAATGTTAACAAGCTAAATTACTTGCACTTGTAAGTGAAAATAAGTGCACCTGTAAGTAAAAATAGGTGTACTTGTAAGTGATTTTACTTGCACTTTTTACTTACAAAGGTGTAGTAGCTACTTGCACTTGTAACATATTTACTTGCACCAAAATTTGAGTTACTTACGAAAATATCACAACGTCATTTTTTTTTATAACTACATTTGATTCGTTGATTTGGACGCATGGACGGTTGTGAGTGGTTCTTATTTTTCATTTGGACAGCCGTTCTCACTTGATATATATATATATATATATATATATATATATATATATATATATATATATATATATATATATAATTTTCTAAAAATAATGTACCGGGAACCAGGAGGGAAGGGTATCCCCGTTGGGGACTAGATGTTCCTTGTCCCCGTTCAAGTAGGAATCTCCATGGGTCGGGGAGAAATTATCGTATAATATTTTCTCCTAACTATTTGATAAAATGTAGTTGCATTTCATTTAATACATAATTCTTTGGTATCTTAAATTACGATGTTTAGTTGGAGGGAATTGTAATTCTACCGAATTGCAATTCCTTCTATTTGTTGAATTAGAATTCATGTACTTCCCTTAGCTGGGGTAAAATAATAAGAAAATGACTGAATTGCCATTTATTATTATTATTATTATTATTATTATTATATTATTATTATTATTATTGTTATTATTGTTGTTGTTGTTTTTGTTAGAATAATAAAATTTTTGAGGTAAAATAATGTACTTTATGAGTTAGAATAATGTACACTATGTTTTATTAGAATAATAATAATAATAATAATAATAATAATAATAATAATAATAATAATAATAATAATAATAATAATTGTAATAAATGACTAAATTGCCATTTATTATTATTATTATTATTATTATTATTATTATTATTATTATTATTATTGTTATTATTATTGTTATTGTTATTGTTGTTGTTGTTCTTGGAATAATGAAATTTTTGAGGTAAAATTAATGTACTTTATGAGTTAAAATAATGTAGACTATGTTTAGAATAACGTACATTATGAGTATGGGTATAAATGAGTCGAGCAGTTCACGAGCCGCTCGGTCAAAGTTCGGCTCGAACTCGATCAATTTTGAGTTTGAGTTGAACTCAAGCTGGCTCGTTTTATAATCGAATTGAGCTCAAGCTCAAATGTTTTACACACACACACAATATATATATATATATATATATATATATATATATATATATATATATATATATATATATATATATATATATATATATATATATATAATTGCTAAGTGATATATTATTTATATATATTCATATGGGTGAAATTTATACGTTATAAATTAGAAACTTATGATTTTGACAATTAAATTAATATAAGTTTATTAATAACTAAAGATTCTTAAAATTCATTGATGTAAATGTGGTGATTCTTAACCTATACGTTTAAATTAAAAAGATTAAAAAAAAACGATATAAAAGTAGGTTTTGGTTGGCTTGGCCTATCAAATATACATTCGATCGTGTTAATCAATATTTAATTTTAGTAAAAACAATTATGAAGTTAATTTTATAATTAATTTTAATTTTTAAGCTTTCAATATTTATAATCACTCATTTTGTCTTTATTTTTTAACAACTATATATATATGTAAAAAGTGTAGATTGATCTAACATATCAATCTAGGTAGATTAGCGGTTGATGGTTGATGTAAAATAAGGGAGAAAAAGATAGGTTAATTTTATAAATATTGTAAATTTAAAAATTTATAAATAATAATAATAATAATTATATTATTATAAAAATGATATGTATTTTTTTACTAAATTTTTTTAACCATTAATAATATTGATGCGCGGTTGACTGGTTGAGATCATTGTCACAATGAGAATATATGGTTAATTTACAATGAGAATATATGGTTAATTTACAATGAGAATATATGCTTAATTTTATAATTATTGAAATTTTTTTGGACAAAGTCTATTTTAAAATTATTGCAAATAGAGCCGCGGGATGGGACGGGCCAAAACACACCAAAGCCCGTTCTCATAGCGGGACGGGCTAAAAAGCCCGCCTCTTAGCGGGCTTGGAATGTTGCCGGTCCGCCCTGCTATGCCAAAGCCCGCTGGCGGGGCGGGCTAGCTCACCAATCAATTTTTTCACTGTGTTAATTTTTTTTTAAAAAATCATTGTACAATATCCTTAAAAAAAAATCATTGTATAGACGTACAGTAACACTACCTACTATTGTGTTCCTATAAATCTATAATCCAATAAGTTATAACACACTAACACAATTACACAAACCAAAATAACATGTATTAAATACTAAATATGTATACAAAATATATATGTATTAGCAGGTCGCGGGCTAAACCCGTGACCTGCCTGACCCGCCCCGCCTGGACCTGTGACCCAAGCGGGACGGGCTAAAAAGCCCGCCTCCTGGCAGATCAAAATTTGAAGAACCCGTCCCCTACCTAAGGCGGTACGGGACGGGTCGACCCGGCAGGTAAAACTCATTTTTGACGGCTCTAATTGCAAACATGAAAGTTTAATAATTAGCTTCATTTTTTTTATTTGTAGCAAACATTAACTGTTGATCCATCCAATTAAATGAATCAACATTTATCACATTTTATTTTACGTCGAAATGTATTCTCTCTTAAATTTTTCCCTTAGATTATATATATAGAAACCGTTGATGGTTGTTGAAAAGAAGAGAAAAATGAGATGGGTTATTTTTATAAATATTGTAAATTTTTATATTTACAATAATTGTAAAATTAATTCCATCTTCTTTTGTTAAAAATTTTAACTATTGATGAAACATGATGAGCGGATGTAATTTGTCATCATTAGCTTTATTTGAGCCCTCTCGTGTGTGTGTGGAGAATTTGTATCAAAGAAGAACGAGTATGCAAGAAACAGAAACCAATCAAATTTGTCTATTTTGAGAGATTTAACAATTTTAGAGGAGGGAAATATGAAAAAATGTGGTGGCATTTTAATAAATAACTTGAGCGTTAAGTGCAAATAATAACATTATAGATTATAGATTATATTTAGTAACATCATCGAGTGCATTTTGTAATATGTAAAAGTTTAATGAAATTCTCAATTTTTTACTTATTTCAATTTATGGTTTTTTTTTTTTAGATTTTTTAATTTTTTAAATTTGGTTTAGAAGTTTACTTTAATTTTTTATTTTTATTTTATTATTTTATTATTATTATTATTATTACTTTTAAAGTGCACCAAACAACAATATAACGTATACCAAATATAGATATTAAGGCACCGAATGTGAAAGTTAGTTGCATTTACGGTTTATCTTTTAAAGTATATATATGATATATGATGACTAGCATTTTGTACGCGCGATGCGTGAAAATTCATGTCCAATATTAAAATAATTAAAAATTATAATTTGAATTATATATACACAAATAATATATGTATTTTGTACACATACATATATAATTTATCATTGATAGAAATTTAATTAAAATATAATTATGTATTAAATTAATATATAATGATTTTAATAAAATGATAATTAAAAGATAGGAAAAAGATATGATGGATATAGGTGTATAGTAATAATGATGTGTTATTAATGTTAGAATTAAAAATTAACGGTGTTATAACGGTGTAAGGGTAGTTTTGTCTATAACATTTGAATGTACAACATATAAAGTAAAATATACACATTTATTTGCATTAAAAAAGAGGGACAAAAATCAAGGATATAACTTTAATTGAGGCTTATTATGTTTTATTATACGATTTAATATGATTTAATTTTTTTCTATTTGGTTTAAGTGTTCACTTTTACTTTTTTAGGAGTTTAAATTTTATATTTACTCTTTAGATTTAGTTTTTTTGCATTCATCAATAGATCTACTTTGTGTTGTTTTATTTACTTGCATTCTATAATTCGAAAGTTTTTTTTTTATAGTTTTATCTTTCAAACACGGTTTCACTAGCTCTTGGGTTGGTTAGATGATTTCTCAGGTCCTCCCCGAGGCCTATCAGGACAGTTTGTCGGCTTGGGGACCATTCAGGTTACTGTTGACCGAGGCGACGGTGTCGTGGGAATCATGCGAGTTGGGTCTCGCCATCATGAAGGATGTTCGTGGACCAAAAAGGAAAGCACGCTTGAGCTTGTATTTCAGCTT